CCCGGCACAACGGGGCCCTGATCTCAGCTGGAGCCTCTAACTGCTGATGTCATACCTGATGCTTAGCATGGTGGTGAGGGTACGTGTGTAACTGCTTGAAGTTTGTCTATCCGTAATGGTTCCTGGGGATTGTGCATGGCCAGACAGAGACCAGCCCGGCTCTTTGATCTCTCTCTCACACACACATTCCACTGTGCTCATGACAGACCCGTTCTTTCCCAGTGAAGAGACATCAGGCTGAGCCCTGCCCTTTATAGGCAGAGACCAGGGAAAAGCCCTTCCCCTAGTGCAGTGGTTCTCAAACCTTTATTACTGGTGAGCCCTTTCACACAGCAAGCCTCAGAGTGCGACCCCCCCCTTATAAATTAAAACCACTTTTTTATATATTTAACACCATTATAAATGCTGGAGGCAAAGCAGGGTTTGGGGTGGAGGCTGACAGCTTGTGACTCCCCATGTAATAACCTTGTGACCCCCTGAGGGGTCCCAACCCCCAGTTTGAGAACCCCTGCCCTAGTGAGTGGCGAGCCCTTCCCCTAGAGAACATCCCCCCTTGGCAGGCAGAGGGAAAGATGAGGAGGATCGGGCAGAAAAAGGAGAGAGAGACACACACACTGGTGTCAGTTCATTAGTGCTTGGAGGGAGGGGCGCTTACAGCCCTGTTGGCAGGATGCAATTGCTGCCTCAGTTTCCCTGCTGGGGTGGGAGGAGCCATTGACATGAGGGTTTAAGGTTTACAAAAGAAAAATTTCCCTTCTGGGAGCTGGTTTATTATAAAAATTCACACACACACACACACACACACACACACACACACCCCCTCTCTTGTCCACGGTGCCTCTTCACACTCCCGAAGCCCTCACAGCAGGGCTTGCAAAGCACCCTTCCTCGCCTTACAGCAGGAGTTCGAGTCCTTCCCCCAGGCTGCAGGGTTCACCCCGGCCCCTTCACTCCGTGGCTGCAGGGGCCACAGCACCTCCCGAGCCAGTCTCGGGCAGATCAGTCTAGCCCCAGCTCTTCTCTGGTTCCTGCCTGGGGCCTCTGGCAGGCAGGACGCTGCAGGTTTGGCTGCTCCCCTTCCAGTTTCCAAGTCAAAAGATTCCTTCTCTGTGCCAGAGACAGAGCCTGGGCTTTTCTACACGTTTCCTTTCCCAGCAGGCCTGGCTGCCAACTTGTCACACCCTGCTGCTTGTGAAGTACAAACAACTGCCATGTCCTATCTTATGGCTACTGTATGTTCCATCTGTCCGCTTGTTGGGGTGCTGCTGTCTGGTTACGAGGGGTTCACTCAGGCCGGGGGTAGCTGCATGTTGGCCGGAGAAGGAACACTGATGAGGACGCAGTGGCAAAGTAAGCTCAGGCCCATGGATGGATTTTAAGTGGCAGGCTCCAAATGTTATTAAACCTGAACACAGGGGCTGCCCTCAGCCTGGGAGGGCCACGGAGTCTCACCCCGTCCCGTGAGTCCAACTCCAAATACAGGGTGGGGCTGCTGGAATGGAGCCATAAAAGACTCACATTATGTGGCCTCCAGGTTAAATCCCTGGAGCACCCCACACTCCCAAATGGGCCAATGGGTGCCAGATGCTCCCAGGGGAGGAGCTACCTGATGTCTTTCAGCAAGCGTCTCCCTTCCTTGCTGCTGGGGATGTCCCACTTCACCAGCCCCATCCAGTCCCCCACGTGCTGAGGCAGCTTGGGACAGCCCTATTGAAAGGACAAGGCCCGACTCATCCAGGTCAGTCACTTTGCTCGGCCTTCTAGTTTCTGCACTGGTTTGCTGCAGATCCAGCGTCCGTCGCTGGAGCAGCCTGAACTGGAAACATCGCCTCTGTTCAGAAAAGCACACGGGCCTCGTCCTGCTATTGGAAACCTGCAAGAGCAACAAATAATAATAATAATAAATCCAACAAAACTATGAAAGCAGCTTCACCTAGCTGCCATAAGCTGGCTCCAAGCAATTTGCCCAAAGGTCACAGCAAACCTGGGGTAAAACCAGGAATTGAACCAGATTTCCTAAATCACAGCCCAGGCCTCAGCCACAAGGCCAGTGTCCTGTTTTACATGTGAGCTGCATCATTCACTGAGTTAATAGAACTCAGAGGGACTCACCAGTTGTTGAATTCGGTGCCATTGATCCATTTCCAAGGCTGGTTCAGTTCCCTCTGGAGGCCGATCCAATAGTTGGGGGGGTCTTTATAGCGCATCACGAAATTCTTTGTTAGAAAAATAAAAGTAAATATGCATCACACACCTTTTCTGGGCCCTCTACAACCTGCACTTGATTAGGGTGCCCAAACGTCCTGATTTTATAGGGACAGTCCCGATTTTGGGGTCTTTTTCTTATATAGGCTCCTATTACTCCCCACCCCCGTCCCAATTTTTCACATTTGCTGTGTGGTCACCCTACACTTAATTCGCTGAGTTACTACACAGGGGGCTGGGCAGGGGGTCCAGGCTGGGAATGCTACACGAAGAAATAACAAGCCAGACTCAAAGGCAGCACCCGTCCACTCCATGAACTGCGGGGAAGTCAGGCCATGTGTAGACATCATGCTAAGACTAGTCTAGTGTATTTCGTGGAGCTGGCTGGAGATTTTCCATCAAAATATTTCTGTGACAGAAAATGTGTTTCCTGCAAAAATGAACTTTTCCAAAGGTAAATGTCGATTTTGCTGAAATTTTTCCATTTTCCACTGAGCAATGATTGTGTTTTGGGTCAGTTCAGCATTAGTCTGTAGCCAGCTGAACTACCAGAGTGCCTCATGGGAATTATAGTTTGGGCCTCACACCTCCATCTTCCTCTACTATGGGCTGGTCTCCCCCAGACTACATCTCCTATAATGCAAAATGGTTTCCCTATTGGCTGCACCACTACTGTGTATCATGGGAGATGTAGTTCAACCCGGGATCTCAGCACACAAAAGGGGGCGGAAGGCACCCAAACCAGAACTCCCAGGAGGAACCACAGCTGCTGTTCAATTCTGAACCATACTGAAACAAAATGTTTTGATTTGCTTTAACAAATCAAACTGTTTTGATCTGTGAGTGTCAAAAGAAGTTGGTTTGATCAAACATCAAAACCAGGCATTGTCACATATTTCTGGAACTGAAAGGAAAGTTAAAAGTTGAGTTATTTCAGCTTTTTGGCCTGATTTCGAGATTTTGACAATTGTTGTTATCCTGAATTTCCCATAGGCTGGAAATTCTGATTTTCAACCAGCTCCGGTAGTTAGCAGCCATCTGGCTCCGCTCTCAGCTGCATTCCAGGCCTTTGGCACTCCTGCATTCTGACCAAAGCCTGTGATTTTACTGAGTCTCATGCTGTTTGGTGCTTTTCTTAACACCCCAGCTCCTGGAGTCAGGTGATTACAAGAGACTCTCGTCTTTTATAAGTTTCTAACCCTTGTGGTTGCAGAGAAAAACTTGAAAATGTGACCCCTAAAAGCTACGACACCAGAAAACAAATGAGAAGCCCTGGAAGCTGTTATCTTACAGTCAATCTCATGGTTTGGGGGTCCTGACTGCTGATTTTTAGATGCCTGGGTTGGCAATGCTGCTCCCGTCACATAAAAGGGCTGGAAAGCATCTAGATTTCCCTGCTGGGAATTCCCCTGGAGCAGAGGGTCGGCACATTAGCCCCACACTGCTCCGTCTCAATTCCCGGTGAACAGGGGGAGGATGGAGTGTGGGTGGAGCACTCAGAGCTCTAGTTGTATAAGTGGCTGTGGGAAGTTGTCCTAAATTCAAGCAGCATCTGGGGCCATCCCACCCCCAGGACAAGCCCAGCATAAAGCCGCCTTTGCCACCCCCACCCTGTGCAGCCCAGAATCTGGGTCTCACCATTTCCTGCTGGGTGTCAATCACAGCCAGGGAGGCACCGAGGGCAGAGCAGTGGCTCTGGCTGTTGGTCCAGTTTGCTTCAGCCTGTGAGAAATAGTAACATTTCCCCAGGTATCTGATCCAGCCGTCTGGGCAGGCGGTCACTGGGAAGGCAGGACCAGCTGGATACGGCTCAGATATCTTTGCTGGAGATGAGAAAGTAACAGGGTAAGAGATTTACCCTTCGCCCGCTGTAGCCAAGGGAACAAGCCCCCAGTGACACCACAACACAGAACACCGTGCACACACACCATGCAAAGCTGAGTTTGTGCCTTGACACGTTCCCCTTTTCAACAGGGAGAGGCCAGCGTCACCCACCAGCTCCCCACAACAACGCCAGCTGTGAATTTGGAGCCACCTTATCAGCCCTGGTCTCCTTTGCTGGGGCCCCAGTTAACTGCAGACACAGACACTGCCAGTGAGACACCTGATTGCACCTGCACGTCAGGCACTTTGGCTTCTGCATGGCAGGGCTGGTCTGTGGGGGAAGCAATACCAGAGCAGTGTGTTCTTGGCACAAAACTGTGCTCTCAAAAAAGACCAGTGGGTGAGGCCTCATATGGTATCAACCAACCAATGAGATAATTATAAACAGCCACCAGGTGGCGCTGTTACCCCCTGTGCACCTACAGGTGAGATGCTAGGTATAGAATAGAGGCAACCAGACACCAGGTGGCGCTGTTACCCCCTGTGCACCTACAGGTGAGATGCTAGGTATAGAATAGAGGCAACCAGACACCAGGTGGTGCTGTTATCTCTGTTTGAATATACCAGAGGAAGGGAAAAGACCCTCTGGATCCATTCACTGAGGAGGAGCAGGGTGGCTTTCAGGAAGACTTGGATCCAGGTGCCTGTGAAACCGGCCAGCTTGGCAAAACACTGGACTTGAGGGAAAGCGGCTTCATTAGACAGGAACGGTGAGTGTAGACCCAGGTTCATGTTTTGTGATTTTGTTTTGTGTTGTTACCATTTGTTCCCATCTCATTCTCTCGTTTCTAGTTAAATCTTTTTTCTTTCCTAGACAAACCTTCTCTTGTTTTATTAGCCATGCTCCCAAGGGCTGTGTGAGATACAGGAGTGGTGGTTTATGGTAATACTGGTAAATGGGGGCACGGTGCACCTCTGGGGGCAGAGGATCTGGGATTTCTGTGAGGAGCCAGTGTCAGGGCTGGATGTCACAGGGGAGCGCTGCAAAGGAACGCAGGGGCTGGGGTGCAGCTATTGTTACCTGCAGGGCAAAGCCAGGGCTGGCCTAGCTGGGAGGAGAGGGCTTGTGGGGCTGACAGGCTGGTGGGGTCAGGGAGCCAACGGCCAGCCGGGCACAGGTACGGCTCCCTCCCGCTGCAGGCAGGGGGGTGACACAGTGACTCACAGCCCTGGGTCACCAGGTGTGTTGGGGTGACAGGGCAGAGCGAGCCAACAGTCAGTGGGAGCCGGACACTGGGGGTGGAGGAGGCCCCACAGAAACGCCCCGGGCTCAGCAGATTCTGATGTGACTGTTGAAGCAGGGGTGGGCGAGGGGGGGGGGAGAAGTTGGGGGGATTGTGACATTTCCAGCACTGAGTGTAAGGTGCAGAGACGGGGTCAGTGCAGGCTCCACACTCACCTGACAGTGCCATGAGGACGATGATGAGGATGATGATGGTGATGCTCAGTATGAGATTGAGAACCACACTCGGAACTGCCCAGCGACGTGCCCGTGGTTTCAACCCAGACAGCAAACCTGTAATAGGAAAAGCCATTAATCCTCGCATTGCTGCTAGAGCAGGGAGGGCTGGGCCCTGATTAACAGCATCAGCTGGAGCTCGATTAAAAACAGGGGATATTTTGCAAATAGAGAAATATACAGAGCAGGAAGTGAAAATTTTCATTCCAAATTGAGGAGAGGGGAAAGACCTTTCAACTTAAAAAAAAAAAAAAAAAAAAAAAAAATCAGAAAAACTTGGGTTTCAATTGGAGGTTTTCAGGGTTTTCCCATGCACCTTCAAACTGTTTCCAGTGAAAGTGTTTATCTAAAAGGGGAGAGGATGGGGGAGGGGGGTTGGCACACTGCAACATTTAAAATAAAAATTGATTCTTTTCCTACTTCAAACACAAAATTCCGCCCCCAAACAAAAACCTTCCCATTAGAAATGAAGATTGGCATTGTTTCCATTTGAAACTCAGAAAACTTCTGAGCAAAAAGAGTTGTGGGGAAAAAATCTGTCTTGTTCAAAAAAGCATTTTCCACCCGGAAGATGTTGATGGAAATTTGACCAGCCCGTCTAGTACTGATGGAGGAATTGGGGTGACTATGCAGGGACTCAAGTATCAGAGGGGTAGCCGTGTTAGTCTGGATCTGTAAAAAGCAAGAGAGAGTCCTGTGGCACCTTTAAGACTAACAGATGTATTGGAGCATAAGCTTTCGTGGGTGAATACCCACTTGCATCTGAAGAAGTGGGCGTTCACCCACGAAAGCTTATACTCCAATACATCTGTTAGTCTTAAAGGTGCCACAGGACCCTCTGTTGCTTTTATGCAGGGACTGAAGCAGGGCAGAGAGGCCGTGGCTGACTTAAGTGTCTTTTACATGGACTGGCCACTAGAGGGCGATAAAGGTCCTCACTGAGTTAAAGTGTAAGAAGACCCCGAAGAGGCATCTGTACCTGTAGGGCAGATTTTGCTGCTCTTTCCACCCTGTGGGGGGATGGGCACATGAGTTGTTCCGTTTGGTTTCATTTGGGTTTCCTGGGAGGCCAGGAGTGGATCTGGCTTCATCTTCTCAGTGGGATATGACCCGTTCAACATCTTTTCTGTCTCCGAAAGAATTGCGGACTCCAAAACAGGCGACATGTTCACCTTTCTGCAGCCAGCGGTAACTACGGCCCTGTTCACAGTGGGTCTGGCGGTGCCAGCAAAACCCTTCGTAAGGAGATCTTCAAAGCAGCTCACTCGATTACAGCTCAGGCGCGGTTTGGCTACGTGGGGTGATCAGGAAAAACTCCTTTCAAATATAATTTGATGGTGAGTTTTGTCCGAATACCCCGACCAGCCAGGCTGGGTCTGAGCTGTGTTCGAATGAACTGTTTCAAAGGTATCCTTGGCACTGCTTTTATCCCCAGGGTCAACCAGGCCTTAGCAGGCGCTGACCAAATCAACTCCAGGTCGCTGAATCATCCTTGTTCTGTGTCTTTTCACTGGCGTCCCATCCCGTGGGGTCTGGGTTTGAGGTTTGCCTGTGGAGAGAATTGTCAGGTTACTCGGGCTGGCTTGTGTCGGTGTTTATCTGCCCAGCCACAGCCCTGCACAGCAGGGTTGGTTAGAGCTGGCAGTGCTAGGACTGCCCTGGTTTCTCTACAGGGATTTGCATCTGAAGGATCCCAAAGCACTTGACAAACACATGGAGGCAGGTGCTGGACTGGGGTCAGTTCCATGTAGAGAGAGTGGGGCCAGATCCCCGGCTGCAGGTGTGAATTGGGGCAGCTCCATTGAAATCACTGACCCCAGACCCACAGCTGGTGAAATTAGCCATAGTTCCATGGGAGTCAATGGGGTCAGATCCCCAGCTCTGATTGGTGATGTCTGTTTATACAGTTGTTACAGCCACACCTGAATAGGCAGGAATGAATTTGCTTCCCCTTATGCAAATAGTTTACAAGAAGTCGTTATGGTTTAATTGGAGTGCCTGGAATTTTGCGGGGGGGGGGGCAGTTCCTGCTTTCTGCCCTTGGGGGATGCCCCATGAAGTCCCTGCGCCCCTGGCAGGACAGGGACTGGGAGAGCAGCAGACACAGATTCCCAGCTGAGCCCTGTGACAGCAGCAGAGCTGCCAGCTCAGCAGATCTGAAGGGCGCGACTCCAACAGCAGCCAGCACCAGCTGCTTCAGCGGCAGGGGCAGGACACCCCTGTACTGGACCGTGATGGAATAACCTGCCCCAGGGAGAGATTCTTCCCTCACCCCCATTGGTTAGAAGCTGGGCTTATACCTTGTCACTTAGAGCCCTTCCCACTCCAGGTTATTGTGTAATATTGACGGTTGTAACTCTGGATGGTCCCATTATCCCTATAAACGCCAAGAACTTATCAGGAGTCAGAAAGGAAGATTGACCAAGGAGATCTTGTGGCAGTGAGTTCCACAGGTTAGCTGTGCCTTGTGTGAAAATGTATTTCCTAAGATTTGAATTTGCCGCCTTTTCAAGTCAGGGGCGTGGTTCTGATAGGGCTTTTGAGAGAGCTGCTGCAAAATGACACGGGCCCCCTAGTGGAAATGAAATGTCATTTCACTCAGACAATAAACAGCTCCATCAGTGAATCAATAAAAGGCAGCTAAACAGCCCCCTCCTCTCACAGCTCCTGTTGGGTATTAGCAGAGCAGTTGGGTAATGGGGGAGGGGGGTAACGGCTACTGCAGCCAGCTGGGAATTGCCCGATAGTCCCACTGTGTGTCATAAAATGCTACAAGGGCAGGGATCCAGGAGACAGAAAATGCAGCCGTTTCCCCAGTAAGAGTCTCCTGTGCTCATACAGGGAGCCCATTTCTCCCCTATCCAGCACCTTGGACCATCGCTGTCACCTGCCCAGTGGGGTATAAAATGCCACAGGATTAGAATTCTCCTCTCACTGGTATCCACTTGCATCACCACCAACCCACCTGGCCTGGGCTGATGCCAATGAATCACTAGAGGTCTGTCTACACTGCATTGTAAACCCAGTTCTGTGGGACCCAGGCTCGGGGACTGTGTCCAAGCCCATGTGGGAGCATCCACACTGCACTGCAAACCAGGGCTTACAATTGCTGTCCTTGGGTCTCCCAGCCATGCTAATGGTCCACACCACACAAACCTTCTGACTGGTCTACAGCTGGATCTGTGTCCACACTGTGTTCTGTTGTGATCAAGACAGAATTGAGCCAGCCTGCCCCGCCCCTCTCCCCACAACAGGACACAGGCTCAGACCCACATCCCAGCAGGGTCCTAGGACCCGGGTCCTGAGTGCTCACGGACCTGAGTCAGACTGATCTGTGTGTGGACAAAAAGGGGTTTGGGCTCAAACCTGGGTCAGAACTGGGTTTACTGTGCAGTGTAGACACTCGTTTTCTTCCACCGGTCAGCAAGAAGTTACCAGAATAAGGAACGCAGCATTAGTCTTAGATTTTAGATTCCCCCTGCACAATGAAAGGAGCAGCCCACCCTCCTCACAGCACCCATCTGCCCCAGGGGGCATTTGTCCACCGCTGCTCACAGGATCCAGGCTCTGCTGATGGTGGTGAATGTCATTTGCAAACCACATAGGACATCCTCTCTCTCACACACACACACACACACACACACACACACACACACACACACACACACACACACACACCAGCCAATGCAATCCACCTGGCTTTGCAGGGCGGACACATCCCAGGCTGGTCACTGGGGCCTGCCCAGGGCATCACTGCCCCTGTCCCCAGCACCCCCCGCCCCATAGGAGCCCCCCCGCAACCAGCCCCGCACAGACCCGCGGGGCAAATGAGCTGGATTCGTAGGGACAAAGCAGGGGAGACCGTATGGAGGCAGCCCGATCCCCAGGACAGCTCCCCATGCAGACACACCCACCCACACCCCTGCCCCTCGCAGCTCACCTGAGCCGCAGCCCCCCAGCTCCCGGCAGGACACACAGCGAGGAAAGGGTTAATTCCGATCGCACAGGGTGTGGGACACGCAGCGCTCCAGTCCTGGTTCTGGTCTCTCCTTTATAGGAGCAGGCGAGTGATACACAGACCCCGCAGCTCCTCCCTCTGATCAGTTCCCAGGGAGAGTGAAACAGAAACTAACCAACCAGCTGCCCTGCCTTGCACCCTCCTTCAGAAACACGCCCCGGGGGGCAGGAAGCCGAGCTCTGCCAGGGATCCGAGCCAACAGACTCTGTGGGGCCAGCGAGCTCCCCGAGGGTCACTGAGGCAGGCAGGTCAGGCCGGGCTAAAGGACACTAGTGACTGAATCTAGTCCCCACAGGTAACACAGTTTGGGGACAGATTTCCCCTGGGGCTGAACCCTGCAGGCTGCGCTGACCTTGGGCCTGCCTGCACTGCAGGGTCCTGCAGCTCTCAGGGTCCTGGTCGGCTCCCTGGTGTGCATGGGGCTGTACTGGGATAAAGGGGCTCAGATTGGTACCGAGATCCCCAGGCAGGAAGGGAACATGCTGTAGAGGTGCAGGGCACCTTTATACAGAGGCAGATCACTGTTTTGTGGGGCCCTTGGCCAGAACAGATGGAGGCCCCTCCGACCCCCCTCTGGTACTCCTGCCGGGAAGCAGGGTCAGGGCACGGGGGCTTGCCCCCCTGTGCCCGTCTGGCACTCCTGCCAGGGAGCAGGGTCAGGGCAGGGGGGCTTCTCCCCCCCACATCTGGCGCTCCTGCCAGGGAGTGTGGGCTGCTGCACCCCAACTTTGCTCCCTGGCAGGAGCGCTGGGCAGAGAGGGTGAAGGCACCCATATTTCTGGGGGGCCCGCAATTGGCCAGGGCCCCGTTGGCCCAGTGGCTAATCCACCATTACCAGGATAACCCACTGTCCACACCAAGAGCTGCACCAGTGTAATTATTGTGCTAAAAAATATTTCACAGCCCCAGTCATGGTACTTAGAGCGACAGAATTCTTCTAGCGCAGAGCAGCTCTTCATTCACAGCGACTCCCGCCCTGTGCGGGGGGCAGGGGGCAGGGAGAGGAGGGGCAGTTAAAGTGATTTTAAATGTAAGGCACCTTTACACTCCCTGAGTGAAATCCATGGAAGTCCGTAAGAGTGACTTCAGTGAAGCCGGATTTCACACCCCCCACCCTGTCTTGTGATGAGGCAGGTACTGGCACATCAGGGGGACCCAGGGGGAGGAGGTGAGAGAGGTTGTATGATTTAGAAGGAACATATGGACCAAAAGGATTAACATACCCCAGTCACTGCCCAGCTCTGAACAGTTTCAAACAAGCTCTGGGGTTTGGTACATGGAGACTTCAGCCTGCTCAGCCCCATGGCAACCCCCACTACTAATCCTCCTCCTAACCTTTTATTAAAGATAAAGACAAAGAAGGAAAAACCGTCCAAGCCTTTGGAATGTAAAGTATCAACCCTTGTAAGTCTCTGTGGTAACAATTCCGCTTGTTCCCTTCCACTGAGCCCCTCCCCCTGGTCTGACAGCCCCTTAGATGGTATCACAGACGGCGATACATACCCTTTTGCAGAAGAGAGAAGTTAGTTGAGATGGGTTGGAGCTGCTGTTGTTGCTGTTAAAGTCCGATCCCGTTTCATCCCAGGGTGGTGTTTGGGATTCAGCTGAAAGTGCCGACGTTATCCGGGTCCCTCTCTCTGGCCCGGTCTGGTCAGGGCAGGACGTCGCTCAGAAGTAGGACACAGAAGGTCGGGGGTCCCAGGAGACGATGGGGCAGTCAGGGCAGTCACCATGGTGACGGTCACTGCAGGAGCCAATTTTTCTCCTCAAAGTCTCTTTCATTAAGGCCCTCACAGGGGCGTGGTGGGCGGAATGGGTTATTTTGGTCACCAATTAGGCCTAGGTTCCAACACACCAACGTTGCGTCACGCTTTGTGTGGACCAGGCATGATTTAAACCCAGTCCTTGAATTGTATCAGCAGATCTTTTTCTTTGGACTAATTCAGTCTGTCTCCTTGTACCTTTCCCCGTCCATACGTAACCCAGGCCAGCTTGGTGTGGCGCTCTGTCCCCCTCTAGTGGCAGCTAGACCCGCTAGCGATCGATGAGCCTGCTACAGTGTTAGCCAAGAGAGATGCGTCTTTTAGCTCATGCAGTAGAGGCTCGTGCATTAAGCTCTAGAAGTCCCAGGTTTGTTCCCAGCTGCCGCCGTCGGGGGGTCTGTCGGCGTTACAAGTGGTGCATTGGCTGGCTGACGCTAGCTGACGCCGACGGGGGGTCTGTCGGCGTTACAAGTGGTGCATTGGCTGGCTGATGCTATGGTGGGACAGTGTGCCACACCAAGCAGGCGTGCGTCACAAATCTGTCATTCTAGGTGACTGTGACATTGTATGAACTTACACTCCTTGTTTACGGATGAACTCACACTCAGGATAAAACCCACAGGGGGAATTATCACCAGAGAGACCGCGATGTGTAAAGACCCAACCCGCGCTGAACTCAGCCAGAGACCCCACACAGCGGCGCCGGGGTTGTGTTATAAACTGCTTCGCAGCACAGTTTACAAGCCAGTGCTTAAGTTGTAGTGAAAGAGGTGCCAGGACTCTTTTTTCCCCCCCACTTTCATAACTGATGCAGCAAGCCCAGAGGTGCCGGGGCTCTGAACTGCCAAGTCGAGAGGTGCCGGGGCTATGAACTGCCAAGCCCAGAGGTGCTGGGGCTATGAACTGCCAAGCCCAGAGGTGCCGGGGCTCTGAACTGCCAAGTCGAGAGGTGCCGGGGCTATGAACTGCCAAGCCCAGAGGTGCCGGGGCTATGAACTGCCAAGCCCAGAGGTGCTGGGGCTATGAACTGCCAAGCCCAGAGGTGCCGGGGCTATGAACTGCCAAGTCGAGAGGTGCCGGGGGTCAGCCCTGGCACAAATTAAGCGCTGTTCCTAGCCCTGGACCAGGAGACGAAGAAAGATGTGGGGTAGCAAACTGTGACAGGCCAGCAACACTAATAGCAAGATGTCAGTATTTGCTGCCAGTGGCAAATTGTGCTGGGGCGCAGTTTGTCACCCTATATGTGCCACCTCTGAGCTGGCAACAGGCAGCTCCAACCAACACAACACAACACAAACCTTTCCTCCTCCCATGGGTCTCTCTAACCCCCCCTCCTCCCCACATCCCGGCTTCCACAGCTGATGCACAGTGTGTAGTTATATGAACTGGACTGGTTGCTCCCCTCCTGTGTGATAGTTAAATAGACACTGTAAATACAACGAACCCGCCCAAGGTCTCAGCAGGGATTGGGAACAACAGACTTTGCGGCTTGGATGCGTCAGTAACAACTCCTTAGAGACAGCTGGGCTGATACCGGCAGCGAGAGCAGGATGAAAACCCCTCTGGATCTCACGTTACTGATTCAGGTGCTGTCTGCAAATGTATCACCCTTTTAGCCTGATTCGCCAATGTGCTCAGCACCTACAGATGGGCTGGAACTGAGCCAACTCCAAATCAGTGAATTGGCTTAAAAAAGCAAGAGATATAAAGCGAGGATGAAGGCTGGGTTCTGTTTATTTGCCATTTGGCGTAGTCAGTCATTGGCGGACGGCGTGTTCTCGGTGCGTGCTGTCCCAGCTCTGCGCGGGTGCGCAGCCGACCTCGATCGAACGGCCCAAAAAGACCACAGACTCGGTTCCATAGCGAAGGCTCCCGGCTGGGTTTACTGTCAACGAAGCCCCGTAATAGCACCTGGCTGACTTAATGGGAATACTGAGACATGGATGCCCATGAGAATGGACTCGACTCAGTGAATGGCGGGATTTTACATTTCCCCCTTGGCCGGACAAAGACACCCTCCTCTGAAACCCTTCTTTATACATGAATACAAACAAGTTACATATTGCCCCACTGACATGGCTAGTTACCACTCTCTGACATGGTCAGTTACTACCTTCACCTTGTGGCACCTTGGAGACTAACAAATGTATTTGGGCATAAAGCTTATGCCCAAATAAATTTGCTAGTCTCTAAGGTGCCACAAGGACTCCTCGTTGTTTTTACCTTCACCTTGTACATGTTGGTTTGCTCAAGAGATCTGTATCCATCACGCTGACCTTATCTTTCTGAGGGGGTCAGTGTGTCCCCATATCACCTTCTGGGAGTGTGTTTACCCCATGACCTTGTATCTGGCATGACACTTCTGAATGTGTTTACATGAATACTGAGTACCTAGACATGGTTGTGTTTTTGCAGCACCAGTCCTGTTCTGGCCAGGTTCTGTGAGCTTGCAAGCAGGCAGGTTTTGTAGCAAGGCCTGACTTCTGCTCACAGCCTGATTTTTGCTAACTTGGCTTTATATCACCTGTGAGCGTGCTACGCTCAGCTGCTGGGTTATGATTTCTGCTAATGACCGGGGGAAGGCAGGGCCTAGCACAGTCTCTTTGTATAATGGTGTACTACAAAAGGGAGGCACCTAGAGCAAAACACAGGTGCCTCCCTTTATGCTACAAGTGTTGAAACTGACTAAACCAGGGAGGCGTGATTTAAATCCCCCAATTTAATCATGAGTTCAATCAGCACATGGAGAACCTGCATTTGCGTCAACATGACGCCTGTTGGTCTTTTAAATTCTATTCCCAGAGGAAGGTTGGGTCCACTGCTTAATGTGTGCCAAGGCTGGGCCCTGGCTCCTTCAGGCTCGGCAATTCATAGCCCCGGCACCTCTACTGGTTGGTTCTCATTGACCGGCGTGGCCATTACAATGTCTGTATGGTTATTTCCAGCTAGGGTGACCAGATGT